CGTACTGCCTGAATCTATCTGTGAAGCATCCATTGCACTTGATGATCTGAGGCTGTATTGCTGCTTCTGGTATTGGTTGGATACAAGTCGTGCAGGGATTCATGAATTCCAAGCAGTGTGTTGGAGTCCTGGAAAAGACCATGATTCCTTCAGCTCAGCAACTTGTAGGGAAGGACTTTTACTTCCAGGATGACAATACTCCTTGTCATTGAGCCACGTCCGTCCAGCAGTGGATGAAGAAGCATGGTGTTTGACTCCTGGATTGGCCAGCTCAGAGCCCGGATTGGAATCCAATTGAGAACTTGTGGGCCAAGATTGGTTACGAACTAAGCAAGAAGCATCCAAAGACCAAGCAGGAGCTGACTGAATCCGTTGTTGCAGCCTGGCACCACATTGTCACCAAAGATCACTTGCAAAGGTTTATACAGTCTATGCTGAAGTGATGCCGCCTGGTGATAAGCAATAAGGGCTGGCCAATTTCATATTAGTAACCATGTTACTAATGGTCCTTTTCAGGGCCACAAACAATAAAAATGTTAATAAAACACTAGCATCGGCCTTAGTAATTGTAACATGTATTCCACTGGGTATGCATCAGTTAATCTGTTTTCATACTCATTGTAAACATGCATTGTAAGCATGCAAGAAAATTCACAATCCCCATCTAAACAGCACCAAATTGCAAAAAGCTTATGTTTTCACTTAAAAATCACCAGTATTTATTTAAATATAACAATATTTGCATAGCAGTTAGCATAAAATATCATAAAATCAATGGCCTATATAAAAATGTCATAAACTGTAAACTGTAAAGCATGTAGGATTTTTTCACACAGCTGTACCTCTAGCCTAAGTTGTTTATATATATATCCTGACTTTAATATTTGTTATAAATAATTCAAGGTGGCAAGCATACCTAATATTACTTTCTCTTCCTACTTTCTACACAACAATAATCCTGTGAGGTAGGTTGGACTGAGAGAATGCCTGGCCAAAGTCCCACCACAGCCAGCTTTCATGCCTAAGGTAGAGTAGCTCATGATGACTTAACCATTACACCAAAGTATTGGCCAAGCTACCTTTTATCATTTCTTCTGGTGGATTGGCCAAATTTCAAAACAAAACATTTTGTTCACCTTTTAGTTTTTCAGAATGGTTTAGGGTTCTGTACGTAACCCTGTAATGTTTTTGAAAATACAGACAATGTTCAAGGCTGGTATAGGCATATTGACATAGTACATATTCTTGGGAGTATTTTTTATGGAAGGATGCAATTAACTAGGGGCTAGGTTTTGTCTCTTCCTATAACATATTCCTATCAATAAATTTCCTTTTCATGATACTTACAAACTACTTCAGTTATTATACTCAAATCAGATACCTGTTCTCATGAAAGCTGGTGTGCACGTGCAGAACTTAAATCTCTAAGAGTTCCTAGGGGAAAGGTATAGCCTTCTGGTCATCGTCTGCCAAATACTAGATCACAAGTAAAGCAAGAGGAAATTGGGAAAGGAAGGAAAACATTTTAAATCTGGAACAGTTAAAAATATATTTAAACTGTCTCAGCTGAGGGGTGGGAGATGAAAACAATGTCATAAGGACGTGTGAAAAAAATATGATCACCCAAATTCCTGTGACTGATCCTGGTGATGACTAAAAATAGAACATCTTTGCAGTCTTGCATGCTGTATGTATTGACTTCTATATGATTCACCAACTTTCAATGTTGACCTTCTTTACACATTAATTACAATTAATATTAATATTTTAAATACATTGCTTTTATTTTTGTACTGTTTAGATCACACAGACACACACAGACACACACACATATTATACATATAAGTTGTTTTTAAATAAGTTGTTTAACACTAATAAGGAAACAGTGATCAGCAATGTGTTTACAAGCAATTATATTTAATCTTGACCTCAGTGTTCTCAATGAAAATGTAAGGAACTATCCATGCAAGGTCTAAATAAGGAAGCATCCTTTTTACAGTGGGTAGGAAGTGACATGATAACCTCATCTAGAGCTATTATAATATTATATTATTTTACAATTTGAGAACTTATATTTTCTATCATTAGGGATAATTTATTTTGTCAGAGGGTTAACTCAACTATTTGTTATATTTTATTAAAAAATAGTTCACATTTTTTCCTATGTAATTTTTGATGCTTTGATGTTGAAATATGATGGTACTTGCAGAACTCGTGGGAATGAAAAAAGAGGGCTCCAGGACTAAATTTGATGGGTCACAGATTGAAATGCATAGTAATGTATTTAGCCAATAACTCACTCTTAAGTCAATCCATATCATAGGATTGTTCTGAACAAAATAGGAGGAAAAAGATGTATTAAATATATTCACTGCCTTGTATTTATTAAAATAATGAAGTGGGATTTAAAAAATAAAATAAATAAATAAATTTACTTCTTGTTCTGTGCCCTTTCTCATTCTGTAGCTGAAATAGTAATAAATTCAAACTAATCATAATGAGTGCTATTTAGAGTTTCTTTTGAAGCTGACTTTGAAGTTTCAGTTTTGAGACTAACCAGTAGATTAATTAACTGTATTTAAAGCAACTGTTTTAGTTGAGTTAAATTGAGAAGGAATGACTGGCCTAAGTGGTCTACCTGTTTTTTAACCTAAGGCAGGGCTAGAATTCACATTGTCCTGGTTTCTAGGCCAATATTTTAATTACTACACCAAATTTGCTTTCATTTTCTTATTTTTTTAATCAAATGTTAAATAAAAAAGAATTTAGTGCATTGCTTTGGGAATGCAAATCTTACCTTTTCCAAATTATCAACATTAATTACTTATTATAGAAATTTATATATTAATCTATTTAAATATAAAAAGCATACATTTTTGAAAATGTTAAGCTAGACAGTAGCTATTGTAACCAAGGTACTGTGATTTTTCTTCTTGATTAGATATATGAGTGAACAATAAAAACAGATAGTGTTGACTTTTATGAATAAGTTCCTTTTATACATTTGAATCAAATCAAATTCTGTTGAGTTCATGTTATTTCCTTGACAATGAAATAGAAATGGTTGCCTTTCCCTTCTTCTGGAATGCTTTTATATCTTCCCAGGCTATTTCCAGTCACTGCAGGTCTACCATCCAAATGCTAACCATTTCTAGTTCCGTTTAGCCTTTGGATTAATATAAGATTAACCAGCTGCTGACATGGTACAAAAATGAATTAATATTTCATTCATTATCTAGACTGTTTGCTACAGTTTTACAAAGCAGTTGTAAAATTTTTAAATGTTAAATGTTTAAATATTTAAATTAAATGTTAAATGTTAAATTAAAGTTCTAAGTGGAGAAACGTATTAATCCAGCATTTTAGAACCAATGAATGAAAACTAGTCGCAGCCACTGAAGCTCCCCAAAATGGAAGGGACATCTGATTACCGTATTTTTTAGAATATAAGAAAAGAGGGGGGAAATCTGGGTGCGTCTTATACTCTGAATGTAGCTACCTGGGTTGTCTGGAAAAGGGGCAGGTGAAGTGGACGCTACGCAGCAAGCGTAAAGCAAGGTGGCTTGCCGCTTGGCCTCCCGCTTCTCCAGACAACCCAGGTTGAGAGAGATCAGCTTCTGTTCTTGGCCCGGGAGACAGATTTTGCCAGGAGAAATGCACATCCCATTTTTCCAACCAGGGAAGAAAAAAAGTGTTTCAGGCAGCGGGCGGTTCCAGGCTGTGCTGCAATCCCCACAGCTTGGAACTGCCTGTCACCTGAAACGCTCTTTTTCCTCCCTGATTGCAAAAATGGGGTGTGCATTCCTCCTGGCCGGATCCATCTCCTGTTCCCAGCAAGCCCCTGTGTCTTTGCTGCTTCGGTCGTAGGCTGATTCTGCATGCCCCGTTTTGGAATAGGGAGGAAAAAGAGCATGCCCTTCTTCACCTTCTCTTTCCTCCTGGTCAGATCTGTCTCCCAGGCCAGGAGCAGAAGCGACCACCCTCAGCCAGGGTTGTCTGGAGAAGTGGGGGACCAAGCAGCAGCTTACCTTACACCTCTCACACAGTTCTCACTTCACTTGCCCCTTCTCGAGCAGTTCCAGGCAGCTGAAATCGATGTACTGCCACCCAAAAACGCTGTTACTCTGCTGCCTGGAATTGCCCGAGAAGGGGCAGGTGAAGCGGGCGCTGCAAAAATTGCAGTGACTGGAAAGGAGACATTTTGCTTTTGAGGCTGCCGTTTGGCTTGGCTCGGCTCCAGGGAGGTCTTAGGCAGTGTTGGCAGTGGCGGCTCCTCACATTGTTGGGGAGTGAAGTCATTGTGGCCGTTGTCTCCCCTGAACTGCTCACTGAGTCTCAGAGGCACCTCACACTTGCAGGAGGAGGGCAAGGACGGCATATACAAAACCCTCTGAGTGATTGGGAAAGGAAGCTGCGCTTGGAACCTGCCGAAAACTGCTGCCTGAAAAGTATGGCTTTCTTTCCCAGTTATTCAGAGGCTTTCATATACGCCACCCTCCTCCTGCAAATGAGAGGTGGCTCAGAAACATTAGATTTCTCAGGACACTAGATTGGGAAGTTAAAAACCTGGAATGGGGTACAATCAAGCTTGATTCAAAGGCTTTGACTCATCATGAGATTGCTGCGCTGCCACCCAAAATTGCTGTTACCTTAATCTCTGTAGAGCCCACTCCATCTGCCCCTGCTCAGGCAGTTCCAGGCAGCAGAGATCGTGGTAACAGCATTTTTGGGTGGTAGCAAAGCGATCTCAGGAGCTTGATTGTATCCCATTCCAGATTTTTAACTTTCCAATTTAGGATAGGATACGATACGATAGTAGAATAGAATAGAATAGAATAGAATAGAATAGAATAGAATAGAATAGAATAGAATAGAATAGAATAGAATTCTTTATTGGCCCAGTGTGATTGGACACACAAGGAATTTGTCTTTGGTGCATGTGCTCTCACTGCTGTACTGCAGAACAATCCATCCCTCTCAGAGATGAGGTTCTGACAGATACCCAAATTCATGGATCTAGGCATCTGCCAAAATATGCCTTCTTCCCAAGCCATGTTAGGGATAGTAATTGGTGATTTTTTCCCCACTAGCAGGAAATCTGCCAGTCATTTTCCTTAAGTTATCCTATATTAAAACTGGAAGAATAGCACCAGCTTGGCTATCAGAATTATACTAGCATACTTTTGTGCTACAAGAAAGGGGAAATCACATTAATGTTGTTATCAGAAGGAATTTTACCTCAAGTAATTTTTATAAGCTAGATTGGGAAATTGAATAGCCATTATCTTTCTAAATTGTTTATATATTTATAGAGACTTTTTATAAACTTCAGGATTTTCATGGTAATATATATTTAGTGACCTCTCCCCTGTCCTTTTTATATTGAATATAATATTTGTTTTTGTTTATACAGCCCTGAAGTTGTAAAGAGTGAGCCATATGGTGAGAAGGCTGATGTCTGGGCTGCAGGATGTGTTTTATATCAGATGGCAACACTCAACCCTCCATTTTATAGCGCCAACATGCTCTCCTTAGCAACTAAAGTATGCAGGTTTGCTAAATGGGATTTTATCATTTACCTTTATCTATTTGTTTCATTTAATTGTCTTTTTAATCCTATATTTGTTATACCACACGGGAAATGTTCTGCAGTTAGCAATCCTGCATTTCATAAGGATTTTATAGCAGGTCTAGAGAAACAGCTTTCTCTGACATAGATAAACTTTTTTCTTAGAGACATCTTTTTATTAAACTAGGCAACATCATCAGCCTAATTTAATAATGAAACCTCTGAAAGAAATCTCCAAGCTCAGGGAGCACCAAGAATCCTACAGTTCAACCTGAGCTACCAATATTCTCTTTTATGGGTACCATATTGTATTATTGTTATCACTTTCTGTTACTGAGATATTACTCAGAATCAATTAAAATAGGACTGGCAACCCGTATGCTTCAGGTACTGTCCAGACACATTTTTCTACATCTTGGCTTTTTACAACTCTTGGAGCTTTCCAGATTTCACATTTCATCAGCAAAATGTAAACATTTAACATCAACATGCTTTGGAAATAACACTCTGCAGGGCATAATGGACCTTGTTGCCTTCAGTCTCCTAACATTGATCTTGTCCTAAAGGTACTTTTTCAAGAGGCAACTGGACTTTCTTGTTTTTCTTTGAAGAACTTTCACTTCTGATCCAAGATGCTTCTTCAGCTCTTACAGTATGGTGGGGAATGGAAGGATTTATATTCCTTGTAGGCAGCTGATCATTTGCATTCTTTTAGAGAGATGTTGAGGCTGCTTGGACGTTTGTCTGTGTCCTCAGGGTCACCTGAGTAGTTCAAATAGGTGTGGAGCCATGAAATTGTTGAAAGGACTGTGTTATGAAGGTGTTTTCTGCAGGATGTTTTTGTCCTGTGTCCCTTCACTGTTGAACACAGGCATATTCTGTTGGGGATGAGTCTGTATTGTCTGCATCTCAAACTGAAATGTAAATAGTTCCTGTAGTCTGCAATTTTTGGAAATCCGTTCATACTCCCACACCATTCAAAGGGTTTTCATCCCAAAGTGCATAGCTAAAGTCTATTTTTATGATGATTCTCAATTATCCAGATTATGATTTCCCCAAAAGTGCTTTTTCAAGAGACAACTGAACTTTCTTTTTTTTCTTTGAAGACATTTCGCTTCTCATCCAAAAAGCTTCATCCAAAAATACATTAATTGCACGAAATGCCTCATATGGAGGAACATACCTTTGGAGCATTGGTATTAATCTGTAAATCCCTAAATAGCATGATTGAGGGACTGTATATCTTTTAAATCTGTCTGGACATTAAAATCTGGAAAGTATTTCTTATATTGCTCCTGCATCACACATCTGTCCCAGGGTATACCTTCTCCAGGATTTGGATGACACTTTATTATCTTTACCATTTTAAAACTAGCAAGAAATTATTTATTCCACAAGGCTCCTCACTGTTAACTATTTTTGCGTTGTTTCAATTATTCATTTTAAGTTCCACTTTATATTTATATTTTATTTGTGGTTAGCAATTTTGAATACTTGATTGAATAGAAAGGTGGCATATAAATTAAATAACTGCATTTATTCAGATGAAATTGCTGGACCAATTGTCAGAAGAAACCTCAGGATCACATTGGTTGGAATCATGTGGAAGAGGCCTTCATCTCACAGTGGCTAGACAATGGCTAAAATGATGATGATGATGATGATGATGAAGAAATATGAATCATTGATATTTTTGATTATTTTTGAATGAGTTAACTTATATGGATATCAAATTCATAAAGCAATTTAATCAGATGTAAAAACTGTACACATATCTGTTTTATAGTTTGTAAGTGACAGCTGTAAGAGGAAGTTATGTGAAGTTTGCCATGCAAATCAAATGGAAAATTACAATATAAAATCACTTAAAAAATGACAGCAACTATTTATTTTGTAGATAGTAGAAGCTGTTTATGAGCCAGTACCAGGAGGTATATATACTACAAAGGTATCTGCTGTCATAAAAAAGTACGTATTATTAACAAAATTATTTGATTTGAACAGCATTCAGTATTTGCTTATTTATTTTATTAAATAATAAAATGATTTATTTAATAAATTAATAACATTTATTTATAATAATAACATTTATGTATCAGCCAACTGCAAAAGGCAGCTTCATGTAGAACACCTTACATCCCATAGTGATCTCTGTAACAACATTAAACATCTACAACTACCTATCCTAATTCATTGGAAAGAATTCAATAAGTAGATAAAAATGCCAAATCCAATTTAACATCTGTCTGTCTGGGTGACAAACCAAAATATTTATTCATGTTGCACTTAAAAATTGTGGGGTCCCATCAGGGTGGGATGATGGCAGAGGTGAAGGGCCATTGCAGGATCCCTGTGGTATGTTGTAAAGGTGAATGACTATGGGGGTGCTATAGCTGTTGTAAGTTTGAACAGGGTTGTGCAGCTTTTTGAGGGAAGGCGGTCTTTGAATGGCTATTAATTGACTGGTCACAACTTAAAAACTACCTGTAAAGGAATATCAATTGAATGTGAAGATATAATAATACAAAGTAGTTAGGTAAATCTTAGCTATTATAATCTAGCTATTATAACTTTTTATTTTTTGCAGAGAGTTGACCCATTTATATTTCTTATTATGCAATTCATTCCATATTTATGCTGTAAAAGTTGAAAAGTCTACAACTGTAGCACTCAACATATTAGTTTCTTCTTCAGCCTCTTGCTTCATTTGCTGCAGAGCTCCTTTCTTGCATCTCCTCCAATTCTTTTTTCAACCTGTCAAGGAAGTCTCCCACTTTTCAGACTGAATTAAGTGAAACCTTTGCTGCTTAAAATCACTCTTTCTAGTTTATCCCAATGTGGGATAAATGTGTATGAGCACAGCGAGGCTAGGGAAAGAGGGCATGACATTTGCATTAGTGAAGGGGGGGTGCCTGCAAGCAAAGAAAGACTGATGTTGGAAGAAACTTATTTGACCATCTTGCAACTTTTCATACTGGCTTCCCCATTGACTTTGCTTGTGGGAACATATCAGGGAAGGTCACAAAGATGATCACATGAGTGCAGAACTCTTCAACCAATTCAAGTTGGTTGCCAAGCACTGAAATATGTTCATGTGACCATAGGGGTGCTGCAGTAGTTGGAACTTTGAGCACTGATTGTCCCATTTATTCAACGCCACTACAATTTTGAATGGTCATAATTTGAGGACTAGCTATATGAATATCCTTTATGGAAAATAAAGAACACTCAAATGAGTAGCAACATTTGCTGAGAAAAAAAAGCTTACACAAAAAAAATCCCTCTTCAAAATTGAAATTGCATTGTAATGCAATTTGTGTTCATCCTGTTTGAAAGCTATAAGGCCAAATAGATATAACACTTTTTTTTTCTCAAAACAATTATGTGATATTTAATTTCTAAGAGTAGTTTAGCATTCCCTTGCTACATGTTAGTGCATACATACATCCCAGAGTTCTTATTATTTGAAAAAAAGGCAACATGAAGATATAAAATGAATGATTATATTTAAAGAGAAAAGAGAAAACACAGAAAAATAGCCATTAGCAATTGATATGTCCTGAAATATGATATTAATATATCATTATTACTTCTCCATAAGCATAAAATTCTTTACAAGTTTTTTTTTTTAAATAGGACATAGAAATATTGATTGTACTCAGTCCTCACCTCAAGCCTGTGGTATATAATTATGAGTTATTATTAAAAGACACATGCAATTGCCCGATTCTATTTGTTAAACTAAGAGAACTAAGTTTTGGTAAAACCTCAAAACTGAATGAGTGGCTGTAAGTCAGTTGCAGTCTAATTTAACTCAACTTACCTCAATTAAAGAAAGGGAGTTTATTTTATTTGAAGTGTTTTATTCATAATTTGAAAGTCTGTATTTACACAACATATGCCATAAGACATAAAGAGATAACAATATGAAAGGAGATGAACCCATTTTTAAAATTAGTATATAAAGTAGGAAATTAGCTAATAGAAAGATTTAAATATGAGGTATTTAGAAAAGAAGCCCAACAATCATTTTGATTTCTTTCATGAGTGTCTCTAAAATTATAATTTTGAATTGTAGCTAAAACAGAAATTTATACAACATAAACAACAGGAAACATTAAGGTTGATACATGAAGAATAAAAGAAAAGGTACCTTCATTGTGAGCAAAAAAGAAAGTAAAATAGAAAAAGTCCTTACTTATTATAGAAAGGATAATTGCCATTCAATCTAGTTTCCCAACACTAAATGGAAGAAAGGAGGATAGGAGTTCTAGTGAATACTGTTGTTGTCCTACTATCCTTTAATTTTTAAATGATTGGTACAAAGTCAATGGATAGTACAATGAAATTTATCTAGAGTGGAATAAGATATAAATAGATTATTCTTCATTATAGGCGATTTCATAGTGGTCGAAAAGTGGATGAGCTTATTCTTTTATCAACATCAAAGTAATGATGTGTTTCTAGATTTTGCTAATGCAGCCAAACTTAGCTTAGTTTCCAACTTCAAATTTTTAAACTTTTGTGAGCCATAGCCCTTGGAAACTTCTGTGCCTTTTGTTATAACATTTTTTGGGGGACTCTGTTTCCCATACTGTTCTGAGAACAATACAAAGGCCCAAACATGACCTACTTGTTATGTGTACTTTGTTTTAGTAGCCACACAACTATGTTTTCTGCCTAGATATTATATTGCTAAACTATTTTTCTTCACTCATTTGAGCAAGAGTGAGCAATGTATGGTTGTGAAGGTGTTCTTAAACTCATATCATTCCTAGTATGCATGAGGAGTGGAGAGGGATGATGGAAATTGTGCTGCAACAATACCTTAGGACTACACTTTTTATCTCTGCATTGGAACTTCTGAGATAAAACAAAATTAACATGTTTCAGTTAAATTCTACATATAGTCTAAGTTTTGCAACTTCTACTTAGGCACAGTAAAAAACTATAAATTAAAGTATCCATCACCAACTGTGGTTTCCACGAAGGCTGTACTTCCAGGAAAATATAATCAAGAATACATTGGTAAATAGTTTTCTAACATTTACACTTGATTTCAGCTGAACAATAGAGACCTAATATTATACATAACAACATAAAAATGGCTGTGATATTCACATAAACTTGATTTATTTCTATTGGGATTTTTTTTTTTAAAAAGTTGAGTAAAATTTTATGAACAAGGCAATATTTGGTAAGGGCTGTTTCTCTTTTTATGTAAAAAGATGTACCAGTCATTGATTTTATGAGAATTAGTTTCATGTAAATATTGGTTGTCATCTCCTAAATAACAGAGATTTTCCCCCACAGATGTTTGAACCCTGATGCAGACATCCGTCCTGATATAGTAGAGGTCAGTTCAATGATTTCAGATGTTATGATGAAGTATTTAGATGGATTATCAAATTCTCAGCTTGTCTTGGAGAAGAAATTGGAACGTGAAAGAAGGCGTACTCAGAGATATTTCATGGAGGCCAATAGGAATGCAATAAAATGTCATCATCAACTTGCTGTGCTGTCTCAGGTAAGATAGACATATATAGTTACCAAGGCTACTTTACATTCTCTGTTATTTATTCAGAGTTGTCAAAGAGTATATATAATACAGCATTAGCCTGCTCTCACTTGTCATGTATAAAGTTTGCAACACATTACCAAACAAACAACTATATACCCACAGTAATGTGAATAATTGGCTGCTGAAACTAGAAAATAAAAACAGTATTTGTAATGTCATCAAATGTTATGTTGTCTTTACATTGGAAAAGGATTGAGATTGTAGCATATACATTTCAATGCCCCCAATTTGCATTCCTGAAAGATTAAATATTGGCTCTTATATCTTAAGGCTAAAATTTTGAAAATTCAACAAAATGAGAAAATTAAAAGCAAATCATTGTTTCATGGAAACATGACTCAGAAATCACCAGAGAGACAAAAATAACCCAGTAATGAAAGTAATTTTATGCTTCAAGATTATTGGCTATTAATTTACAAATTCAAACATATCAGTTTGATCACATAATGCTTTCCAAGATATACTTCAACAAAATGAGAAGTGGAAATTATCCTTTATATCAGAAAAGAGTGCCTTCAAATCTATTGTACTACATAGATAGGAAAAACAAATATTAGAATTTCAACCTTAATTTCACATTAAATAAAACTTCTATGTGATATTCAGCATATTGAAATTATTTTGTAATTATTGCAAAGCTTTTCTACAATAAACCTTCTCAGAGCTTGGGCCATGATAGTTATTTGTGCCAGTTTCTTTCCTATCTGTTTGAGAGAATTTTAAGCAATAATTCCAATTACTCGTTTACTACCACTGAATAGGAATTTGAGATTCTAAATCTACATCATAGTGAGCAATTCCCTTGCCATACTGATTACTGTTGACCAGATCATTAACATTTTGCTCAGGTATTAGAATTAAATAACCCAATATTAGACCTGGCTGTCATAATAAATCAACCAGTTCAAATAACTGAGTCTTGGAAGAGGATTTTATAACTATGATACTTCAGTTGCTAGTATTTTTTTCTGAATGTGGGATGGGCTTCTGGGAGATATAAGGCTTTCTTCACTAAATGTGTTTTGTGATTTACAATTAAACCATTGACTTGCAGAGCTGTAAAATGAGCATTCCCTCATTTTGAAGGAAACAAGTATTTTAAAGACTTTCCAGAAAAAATAGGCTTGGCCATTGGTACATTTTTGAAGTAGGATGCTCCACAGTATGTTGGTCAATACTTAAAAATACCCAGTTCTAATGCTGGGAAAAGTATAAGGATTGAGAGGAAGGGACTGACTAATAACAAAAGCAAATGAATTTAGTTACAATACAACAGGTGTACAATTGGAAAACTTGAAAGTAAAGGTTATGTATGTATGTATGTATGTATGTATGTATGTATGTATGTATGTATGTATGTATGTATGTATAGATCAATCAATCAATCATGGTATGGTTTCCAGGAGGTGAAAACTACAGAATAATTCTTGGTAAGATAGTCCCACAATATATGTGATTTTATAGGCAATAAGCAGCATGTGAATTGGGCTTGGAAGCCATTGAATTGATTCCAAATAAGTGGTTTTTTCCCCCAAAAAATATCTGTCCTGATTAATAATCTGGCTGCCAGATATTGCAGCTAATGAAATCTTCAAGTCAACTCCAGATAAAGCACATTGCAGGTTTTTTAAAATAAGAAATGGCCAAGTGTCAGCCCTTCCAAGTTAACTAGATGGGAAACATGACTAAGATGAAAAAATTATATTTTATTGTAAGGCGATATTAACATAATCTTGCAAGTCTGAATGTATAAACTTCCCACTACCACTTGTAACTGTTTGACCAATTAAATCATTGAGGAGGGGGCATTCTTGTCTGATATCCTAAGAAGTATCAATTTCTCTCATCCCCCAAGGTAATGCACACATTTTATTACATCAGTCACGAAGACTTCATGGTATGGCCATAATTGATGCTCCAGTAGAGTTGGGCCAAGGCGTGAATACAATGCATCTTAATAAACCCCTTCATAAAATTCTCTCATTTGTATCAATAGCATTCATACACTGTTCCCTCTAAGGTGCGCAGTTGCGCGACCGCACACATGGCAAGAAAACACCACGCAGCCGTTTCTAACTGCCGCACAGTGATTTCTGTCACAGGCTCTGGAAGCTGAGGGGCCTCATAAAATCTAGGGTTAGCACGGGTGCGGGGATTGCGGCAGGAGCTTACACGGCACAGCTGGTCTACTAGGACCTCCTAGGCGCCGGCTGCGCCACTCATTACCATCAATCGCCCCGTGTTCAGCAAAGCAAACACAGGGAAGTCTTTTGCAGGCGGCTAGAACTGGCTGCCTGCAAAGGACCTCCCCAGACTTGTTTTGATGAGCACGGAGAGACTGACGGTAGTTTGCGCCAGCCGTGGCCACTCAAACTAGCATCGGTCGCCCCGTGTTCAGCAAAACAAGCCTGAGGAGGTATTTTGTGGGCAGCCAATCCTAGCTCGGCGCTGCAGCTGAAATGAGCCCCCATCGCCACCAGAATATCTGCTGCCGCCTCCTCCTCCAACAGCACTTCCGGATTTGCCACCTGACGCTGCAGCTGAGGTGAAGCCGCCAAAGCTCCCGCCAGCATCCCCGCCCATGGCAGTGGTGTCTTTCCCTCCACGCGGAGCACCTGAGCTGGCCCCCACATTATCCCTCCCCCTTCCTCCTCCGCCATGCTTTTGAGGAGCCATGAGGCCGCGGGAGCTAGTAGGAAGGCGGCGGAGGGGGCGGGAGCAGGAAAAAAAGGCCTCATGGCTTCTCAAAAGCCCGGCGGAGATGGAGGCAGCGGCAGGGGCAACCCAGAGCCCAGCTGAGGTGCTCCGAGCGGAGGGGGAGGCACCACTGCCACTGGCGCGGTGCTGGCGGGAGCTTTGGCGGCTTCACCTCAGCTCCAGCGCTGG